CTGTTGAGATTCGGGCTCGCGCTCGGGCTCATAGTCGAGTCCATCCACGCAAATGTCGAGTGCAGCCGTCATACCAACGCTGTCCCAGTCATCGTCCGACGTGCTGTCGACGGCCACGCCATTGCCCCCGACGTTGACCATGCCGCCGTTGGTTGCGACTTGAGCTTCCGAGTCGTCGTCCGAATCAGCGTTAAAGTCGATCGTACGTGACACATTGAGGTCGTTGTTGCTGTTGAACCCGCTTGACTCCCCTCCGCCATTGCAGCCCATCTATTCAACCAATATATGAGGAAGGTGTCGCTTGCACACCATATACTAGTAGCAGCATACCGGGTCATCCTCAGCCTCCTCGTCGTCCGAATCGGCGCCTTCATCTATCTCGTCGTCGTCGTCGATGTCGAGAATGTCCGCGTCCATGGCGTTGATGGCTTCTTCCGCATCGTACATCTACGTCGAACCAGATTAGTGGCATATTTGAGGTATGGGTCATACAGGCTCATCGGCCGAAGCGACGGGACCTTCCTCGAATGGCAGCTCAACCGCCGAGCTGTCCGCACGCACACATGGCAAGCCGTGGTGCAGCTGTTGCTGCTCGTTCAGGTAGTGATACCAAGCTGGGAAAGCGCGAAGCGACAATTGATGAGCGGGCAAGAACGTTGCCGTGATGGACTCGACCTGCCACTTCTTCGCCTTGAAGATCATCTTCGCGACGAGTGCGTTCTTGTTGCTAGCCGCAATGAAGATGTCGAGGATCGGCCCCGTCATCGCCGTGACCAGAGGCTTGAGAGACGTCTTGCGATCCCGCTTCGTCGGGTTTGTCGTGACCGCGGCCTCGAGTGCTGTGATGTTCGCTTGAAGAGCGTCCGTGCGGTAAGCAGCGGATGCAACTTGCTCGGCGGACGACGTGGCGCGGGTAGTACGAGCAATAATGCTGTTCTGGTTCTCGATCATGTACTCGTCGAGGAGGCACCGAGGGTGAGCGACAAGAGCTTCGTACAGAGTTGGGTGGTTCTTCTCGACGTGGTCGATCTGGCAAATCCACTCGAGCACCGAGAGCTTGTAGTGGTGGCGGTTCATGAGAATGAACGCTTGCGCCACCCAAGGCATCACGCTGCGCAAATCGTCGAGCTTACACTCATCGCGCACGAGTTTGTTGTAGAACGTCGTCGCAAGTGGCAGGAGATGCTCAAAGAAGTGCTTCAAGAGGTCCATGCCGGCCGTGTTGAAGCGCGACATATAAACGAGAAGCTTTTCGCGCAAAAGACTGTACGCTCCAAGCATGACGTCGGCGCAGTCAACCATGTTGTTGTGGTAGAGCTTCTCGGGCAGCGGCTTGCTCGCGATGACTGGCCAAAGTTGACGGATGACCGGGTCGAACGCACCACAAACGGCCTCGAGGAGCGTGAGCGAGATGTGGAGCAATCCGTTCACCGGTACAATGTTCGAGGCGACCTTGAGCTGGCTTGGAAGCGGCGCCTCGTTCTGGGAGAACCACGTCCCCATGACTCGGCGGCGCTCGTCATCGGGCAGCTGTTCGATCAAGACCAAGTGCTTCATCGTGTGCTGGGCCCAGTAGTCGCCCGGCATGAAGAGGACGTTCTGCCTGAGGTAGTTCCTGAACGCTGGGATACCAAGGCACTGCTTGAGGTGCGTCCACGCGTGCTCGACATTCTTGAAGTCGCTGTCCGTCACCTTCAAGAGGCGCACACCTTTCAAGTACGACGAGTGCGTGCGCCCACTGAGCTCGGTGAACTCGTACAGCGGCTGCGCATGCACCTCGCCAACGACCTCGATGCCGCGGTGCATGATGAGCCATGGCAAGTACAGCCCGATGTCATTGGTTTCGACTCTGAAGCAGCCAGCGTCTTCAAGCGGCTTGATCGTACAAAAACCACCGGGCATGTTCGGAGGCCCAATTGCACGCCTGTCGTTGCGCTTCACGGATTTCGTGTTGGGCACACAGTTGGCGACGGAAACGATCGACTTGCGAGGTACTGCGTAGCTACCGTTGGTGCGCAATCGGTTGACGCGTGAGCACCGGTTGAAGTCGTCCATGGCAAACGAGGCTATGCCCCGCACGACGAGCTTCTTCTCGCGAACGCGCTGGAGCAAAGTGCAAGTGTTCGTGAGCGTCGCCTTGGACGGGGTGATGCCGAACTTGTGCAAGACCTGGATCACCTGCGAACTGACGCTGCGGGCGTGGCAGTAGAGGCCAATGAGCTTGCCGATGATGTTGGCGTGCTTGTTGCGCAGGTTGATGGCGTGGCAGATGGCAGCGACGAT